ATCCGCATGGTCATGGTGCCTTGCTGGAAGAGGCCTTTGCACCCAATCGCATGGTGACGGACATGACGGTAGACATGGCAATCGAGATACCTCCGAGGCTCTGATGAAGAGAACTAGCAGATTGTTGATTTTGTCCATGTGTATCTGGTGTTGGACAATAAACGTAACATCACGGCAAACTCGACGACAATCCCCAAAGAAATAGTTCTGATGGAGAAGTTACCGATGGAAGTCATGACCTTCTCGAAGAGCTGCTTTGCCGAAGAAGCTAGTCGTCGACGCCGGTGGAAACAACTGCCTCGATGTCGACCTGTTTACAGGCAACACATAGAAAGTAGAGAGGATGCTATGGCAAAAGCACGACGCATCGCTAATTCACATGTGTCTTACGGCGCCGATTCTTAATTGAGCGAGCACGCCTCCGTCGGAAGTTTAGGGTGAAGCCGTGAAGGGATGATTACTTTTGAAATAAACATCCCAAAAGTGAAAATATAAAGTTTTATACTTTTATTACTTTTGATACGGTATATCAAATATTTTCGATCATACCTTCTTCGGGATAAGGGTCAGATAGGGCCTCGAACTTGAAAAAAAATGTTAAATAAGGCCATATTTAGGATGCTCTGTCCGGCCGACGCCATTTGGGGTGGTTCCCGGTGAAATTTTTTGATGAATTTTTTTGAAAATCTTATTCATTAAGTCTAGTTTACTCATATCAAATTTGAACTAACAATTCAATCGGGAAGGCATTCAAATGAATTCATGAAGATAACTGCATTTTTAACGGTACAGTTATCTTCAAGAATTCATTTGAATGCCTTCCCGATTAAAGTTTTAGTTCAAATTTGATATGAGTAAACTAGACTTAATGAATAAGATTCTCAAAAAAATTCATCAAATAATTCTACCGGAAACCACCCCAAATGGCGTCGGCCGGACAGAGCATTCTAAATATGCCCTTATTTGACATTTGTTTTCAAGTTCGAGACCCTATCTGACCCTTATCTCTACCTTCTTCATATCAAGACTTCCGGGATACAAAATTTATATAAAGTTACTTTATCGAAATTTCAGAATAATGTATTCTGTTATACCAAAGTTTCGGTTCGATAACAGTATGATATTGACAAATTACCATAAATGTCTGTCTATATTACAAATTATTATAGACTAATGAATTATACAAAATCGGTGTTACTAGCGACATACTTGATCCATCACTAAAATGTTACAAAATACGAACAATAATATATTCATGTCATATTTAATACTCCCTCAGTCCCAAATTGTATGATACATTTACTATTCACTTGGTCAACATAAATCACTCTTAATATTTTACTTTATATACCAAAAGTTTATGAAATTTGAATTATTTTTTGCAGGTTTTGTAGCGGTTTTGATGTAGTTTCTAAATATGTAAATTTTATTTTCTAAAACTAATTTGAGTGTTGACAGGGATCAAATTGCTTTATCATCGGTCAAACATCGTAAATCGTAAAGTATCTTACAATTTGGGACGGAGGGAGTATTTAACAATTATTATTATAAGCATATTTAAGTAGTGCAACACATTAAAAAATAGCACGTTCTCCTAAAATAACAAACAATATAGATACAATTAAATCAATAGTGCTCTCTAACAAAAAAATAAAAATATTCAAAAAAAAAATTAACATGACTTTCGGTAAAACGGTATACCGGTATACCTTGTATTTTCAAAACATATACCGATACCATACCAAAGTAGTTCGATGTGGTATCATACCATACCAAAAATGTCAGTATATCTAAGTTTTCGGCAAATGTGGCATACCGAAATTTTGGTATTTTTGCAGAGCCCTATTTATGACATCACCCCCCAATTGCTCAATAATTTTATATAAACGAAGGACTAAATACATTAATAATTAAATATGCTTGTACTTCAAAAATTGAATTGACTTGTACATTTTAAAAACATTATTTTTAAAATTTGTAAGACAATTCATAACACTTCAATTTTGAGGTATACATAATACATATATTCTTGTACTTTTACTAAAAAAATAAATTGAATCATAACACTATTAAGTGACTCAATTAAGTACTCGAAGTGTAAAAAAAATAATCACAACATCCTCTACATTGGTAATTTGTCAGTAAGCCTCTTTAGTGCGTACATGGTGTCTAGTTTGCTTTATCTTTAGGAAGTTTCTATCGTACCTTTCTTGATTTAAGAGGTACCGGTACCTAGGTTTTTTAAGCCAATCAAATTATATTAGTGTACCACATCACCATCCTATATTAGGCAAATTATACCGTGGGATCGGTGCACCATCCTCAAGGTGTACCCAGGGGCGGATGTAGCTTGAGAGGTATGGGGGCACTTGCCCCCAATAACTTGTTTTGAGCAAGGTAAATATATACTAATTTTATTACTTTTATTTTAAATGAAATAATATGCCCCCAATAGCTTTTTTCCTTTGCCCCCAACAATTCTTCCTCTTTCCCCACTAACTTTTTGTTTAATGTACGTGATATTTATCAAATTGAAATTCCCAAACAACTTAAAATTTTATGGGCATGCCAATAAACAACATGATGATATTATACTTGATTTTATAAGTAACAAAACCATTTTCTCATTATAACATACCGATTTATACACATTACACTTTATTTGGGTCGTATCTTGTAAACTCTTGATGTTGTTTACATATTTATATGTAACACCCCGGCCCCACAGGCCCCAAAGTAGTTACTCTAACTCTCTAGTACTGTCCCCACAAACCACTACGAGCCTTTACCACGCACTTTGTCCTCACTCATGTGCGCCCTGAGAAACTTCTCAGGGGGTCACCCATCCTAAGACTACTCCTGTGCAAGCACGCTTAACTTTGGAGTTCTTGGGTGATGAGCTCCCTTAAAAGGAGATGCACCTCTGTTGGTATGAGTAGTACTATTAATCCGTTTATATTAAATCTCAAGTGTTACATTATAAATCAAGAACGTATCATTATAGAATTGAATAATAAACTTATTGAGTATGTAAACATTTACTCCGTATGTAATTATAAAATGAGTTGAAAGGGTCTCACTAGTCCTCCAAGACATAAAAGTACAACCCTTCTTTGAACTACATTGGTAAAATAGTTTTAAGATTGGATCAATCTTAAAACAAGCAAAAATCATACATTTTCACTTTACTTTTCACTGTACAACCTGTCTTTCAAAGGATAGGTCGGGACATTGGGCCGGACACAAAGAATATTTTGAAAAAAACTTTACATGGAACTTGTTTCTATTTTAGTTTGAGTAGATTTGGTTTGAATGTTAGGATTTTTGGAGTTCTTTTGATAGACAGGGTTTCAGTTCCAGTCGTTTTAGACCTAAATTTGTCCGTTTCAGGTTTAGCAAATAATGTTGCTTTGTATGAGGAGACTGACTCTAAGTCTACTCCTAGGGTTCACGACCGCTCTTTTACAATAAAATAAAGAAATCTGGGGTGGACCAAGGCCTAGGTTGGCCACCCTATCTCCGCCCATGCATCTTTCCATTTCCTTTTTTGGATAATTTTTGTGGCTAATATTCATTTACTTTTTTACTCAATATAATCATACATTTTCACTTTATTTTCACTTTCTAAATCTTTGATTTTAATCAAATTAGAAAGAATTTCATGGGATAAATGAAACGTATATATAGGAGATCATATAACATAATTAAGTTGAATCAATTGGGAATGTAACATATATTCTGTTGGAAAAATGTGTGAAAAATTGCATGAAATAGCTATTTTGGGGCAATTTTTTGAGTGGGGTCCACTTCCGATTTGGGTCGGGTCAAAGTGGTTTCGGATTGTCCTTGTTAAGGGATACAATTCGATATGTGGTACGCTCAAAACGGATAACGGGTGAATGAGAAATCGCTTTTCGAAGTTTACCCGTTAGAAGGGAAAAAGGATGGGTTTCTAGTGTGTTAATTTCCCACACCGGAAAACCCAAGGGATTTGCTACCCTTTATAAAGGGACTCCCCCCCTTATGGAGTTAAGATTCTTAAGGGTAAAGGCTCTCTCCACGCGCGCAGGGGGGGTGCAAATCAAATCCCGAATTCGGAGAAGAAAAACCGCGACTTGCGTGCGCGGGCGACCTGCGGACACGAATGTCGTCCAAAAATCTATCTCTCAAGAGACCCGAATTCGGAGAAGAATACCCCTCATGGGGTATTCTGGTGGCCGCCCATCAGAGATGGGGTACTCTGATGGCCGCGGATCAGAGTTGGGGTCTTCTGATTGGCCTTCGATCAGAACCCCTCCCGGGGTGTTCTGATGGAGGTCTTCTGTCGCACTTCTGAAACGTTACAACAATTAATGCCCAACGTTCTTATCTTTTAATGCAGCGTTAAATGGACAGTTCATGGACGATTCAATGCCCAACGGACTGGTCATTGATGTCCAACGTTCAGGTCCATTAATTCACTATTTTCACACAACAAATCCTCCTATATAATGGCTGGCAGGTGGTTTGCAACAACACATGTTCTTACACGTTCTTACACAAATCCATACACGTTTTAGCTCTAAAAACACACTGCTAGCATTCCGAAAATTTCCCCTGTGTTCATACTGTGTTCTCATTCGCTGGAACTTTTGTTTGTGTGCTCAAACATTAGTTCGTAGTCATCGTATCCTGGGAAACGATTGTTGCAACGCTCCTAGCACCGTGAGAGGCAACAAATACGTTTTAAGGACATCGTGCGTAGCACGAGCTTTGACTAAATCTGCTTCATCTCCTTTCTTGTTTTTCTCTAGTCATTTTATTTAATTAATTTATTTTTAATTAATTTTCTTTATTTTCCGAAACACACCCAACATATTCATCCTTTGTATGTTATTATGCCCCCAATAAGCACAATTTCTGGATCCGTCACTGGGTGTACCGATCCACGAACGGTACCGTTTTGTGTTAAAACAAGTTACAAAACCTCCGCTGCCCTCTTAATTGCTCTTTTATTTACTCGACGGAAGAAACGTGGAGTGGCTTGGCTAACGAAACTATAAAGCTTCGGGAGTGCTTCTCCGGCGGGAGAGGCGGAAGGAAACGTAAATTGGGAGCCAGTGACGGGGACTTTGGACGGAGGAGATCAGGGCGGAAGATTGCTAGTGCCCCAGATTGCTTCACAGTCAAGATCATAGTGCAAAGACTCGAACTTTCAAGCAACGATCAAGGCCTCCGGTTCCTCAAGTCAAAAACAAGTTTCAACGAGCATGTAGATGATCGCATCCCTTCCGAATATGGACTCTATATGTGCGTGGAAGTTCAGCATAAATTATTGAACATCAAATCATCAATCATGCCGGTTTTGTTGTACTTTATACTCCGTAGTCCGTATTATGAATATAAACTCCTGTGGAGATGGTCTCCTAGATTTGTTTCTATAAAGGCTCCTGGCTCCAAAGCGTGAATGAATTTCATCTCCTGTGGAGATGGTCTCCTAGATTTCCATCAAATAATTTAATTTAGATTCTTGATGTATATTCTTGATGAATTTGAATTTGAATGAATTTAGATTCTTGTCTGTTTGTTTTCCTTTTTATTAATTTCTTTGCTTCTATGTTTTCGTATAAATTCTTCCTCATCTTGGTGAATAAGTTATATGGATTCCATAAGTGCAGTTTACATTTGTATCAACATCAATTACATTGCAGTTAACATGATTTACATGTTTTATTTTCCTGCAGTTACATTTTAATTAACGCAACTTACATTTTCGAAATTTCTAAAGTTACATTTTGGATACATTCAAGTTACATATCAATTTGATAAAAGTTACATATTTTATACCGTGAGTTACATGTCAACTTTTCTTAACAAGTTACATCATGTTTACATTTGATTTACATTTTCCAAAACGCGTGTTACACCACATGATAATGCGAGTTATATAACACAATAAGCCCCTGCTATTCAAATAAAAATTATTTTTATAAAAAATTCGTTTTTATAAACCTGATATTGAAAAAACACATACACTATTTATGTAAAATAATTGGGCAATTAGACTCCTTTTTAATTGATATCAATGTTTTATTTCTTATATTATGTATTGGACAAGTTACACTTCAACTACATTTGAGTTACATTCATCAACGATGTGAATTACATTTCTTTACACGTGAGTTACATCATTCTGTTACTGGAATACGAAAAAAAATAAAAAACGCGTGTACTGTTCACGCATGTACTGTTCACGCGTTTTTTTTTAAATTGATTAAAACGACGTCTTTTTGAATGTGGAGCACGGTGCTCACCGTGGGATGATCCCACGGTATATGAACTGCCTATATTAATACAACTACTAAAATCTACCAAGTATAATTAAGTATTATGGCATGCCTTTAAAATAAAAAATTTGATTGCAATCAAGATTCTACAAGGGAAAAGAGGCAAGACACATATATCAATTGTCTTTAATTTCAATACGTATAGAATCTCATAAATAGCAAACTTCAGATGCATGTCGTAAGAGAAATAAATTGAAGAGTTTTTAAGAGTTTTTATTGCTTCACTAATTGAGGAAGAAGAAAGGAGTGGAAGAAGATAAGAAGAAAGAAGATCGAACACAACTTACCTTTGCCGTCGCACGCTGTTGGTTGGAGATGGGGATAAATTAACCGTCTAAACCTTTTGTTGTCTGCTAGCAATGGAAAAGAGATAAGTTCGATGGAGATGATGAAACAATGGGAGAAAGAATCTGGCCAGAGGAGAAATCAGAAATAAGAGTGGAGAGAGATAGGGACGGATCCGGGGGGCGCGAGGGGCGATCACCCCCTGGACTTCCAAATTTTTCTACTATACATATAATATTTTCATAAAATTTTCATACTTTAATTAAGTATATATGTTTTCGCCCCCCTTAACTTTTAGTTTTTAAAATTAATATATAGGCTCATATAATGCAATGCATAATTGAAGATTTAAAAGAAGTAGAATCTAAAATAATTTACATAACTTAAACAAATAAACAATAGAACTCGTTGTTTAAGACTTAGGGTACCAAAAAATTCTTAGTTTTGTAATGTTTAATTATCTTTATTAGATAATTAGGACTCGATTTTGTAAGATATCAAAAGATATTGAATATCAGATACAGTAGTTAAATAGTATAAATGTTTGTTGACATTAAATTACACATTTCATTTACCTCTTACTTTCTAAAAACAATTTGTTGAATAGATAATACTTTAACTAATTTTAGAATTAATACAAATATAATTTGCACCATATATATGTGTGTGTGTGCGCGCGAATTAACATTACTACGTATCATATTATTCTAAGTATAATAATCTCAAACATACTATTGTAATATTACGAAAACTCATCATGACCCACAAATACCCTTCTTGGTAGACAAAAATCTCAATTCAAAAACCAATTCTTTATCCTGTTAAGATTCATGTGGTTAAACAAGACACAAGTTACTTAAAAAGCATTGGTTGATGTGTACCTTTAACTTTAACCACTTTACCTTCAAATAATATAGTAAAATGTTATACTACGTATATCATATCCTTTCTTATTTTCAAATAATTTTCCTTTAATTTGGCATTTCTTAAGATTTAATGTATCAATATTATTTTATGGAGCACTTATAGTTATTAAATCAAAGTTATCTTTTCATTGTCTAAAATTAGAATTAGAATATAATAGATTTAATTGTCATCGTGTATGTAGTATGTACTAATGGAACTTTTTAAATAAAAATTAGTCACAGGGCACTACACTAACAAAAAAATTCGCCCCGCTACACTAGCGATTTTTTTCCCGTTCCGCTTACTAGCGAATTTTTTTCACTCCCGACACTAATGAAAAAATTTCGCCCCCCTTGACTCGAAATCCTGGATTCGTCCCTGGAGAGATGAGACAGGGAAGAAGGGAGGGGAGAGACCAAAACTTGCAAGAGAAAGTCTGACAAAGGGAAAAGATAAGTCTGAAAAATTAATTCAGAGTAATAATTGTAAGGAGGGCAGAATCAGAAATTAGTAACGAAACGAAGAACTAAAACTCCTATTTGCGGAATAAATAAAGAGTAACTCCTATTTTGGAACTTTTCTATTATTTTAGTCCTATTTGAGACAATTACTTTATTTGTTTCTATTGTTTTTAAAGTTCTTTCTTGATTTAAGAAGTACCGGTACCTAGGTTTTTTAAGCCAATCAAATTATATTAGTGTGCCACATCACCATCCTATATTAATACAACTACTAAAATCTACCGAGTATAATTATGTATTATGGCATGCCAGTAAATTAAACCCTGAGCCCTGAAAGGTTGCAGATCAGAGGGTGTAAAACCGCCGCCGACGCGGCAAGGAAGAAGGTCCGCCGATGTGGAATTACCGGACCTGTAGGTGTTTGCTGAAAATTGTTGCTAGAAGCCTGGAGGAGAGAAAACCTGTTTTTCGCAGACCACCATTGACCGCTGGAGAAGGGGTTTTAGATGAGAACTTCTGTCGTTGAGAAATATAGTCCGCCTTTGATTCTCGCTTTGAGAAGAGGAGCGCACTGCTATGCGAAGAAGTCATTGTTTATCTTCTGCATCACTGGCTCATCGAGTAAATAAGCACGAAGAAGCGGTTAAGCATAGACTCTATGGGGCCCAGTCCGGCCCAGTGCCTTGACTACGCCCTATGCCACAGAGGAAGCATGACTTGCGTACGTGCTCTAGACTGCAACTATGGAAGGCCGATGGCGATGATGCACCGTACAAAACCAGATCCTTTTGCAAAGGACTCAAATGCAAATACTGCAGTTACTAAAATTAATTATTTTATTGCTATTTAAAATTTACACGTGTCATGCTTTTATTTGTGATCTAGGCAAATGTATCAGTACACTTCTAATTAATGGAGGTACGTTAGAAGGACCCTTATCTTTATTGTTTTCTCTTTTTTCTACTCCGTATTTGTTTCTATTTTTTCTTGGAAAAATTGACAAGAATAATCCCATCTTTCACTGATCTTCTCATAATAATCTCACCTTTAAATAATCCCAAAATAATTCCACCTTTGCACCTCATCTTCTTTCATTGGACCCTGACCATGTTTTTTACTCTTTCTTTGAAAATTATACAAATAATCTCAGGTGCAAAGATGAGATTATTTTGGGATTATTTAAATGTGAGATTATTATGAGAAAACTAGTGAAAGGTGAGATTATTCTTGTCAATTTTTCCTTTTTTTTTAAAGTTCTTTCTTCTCTCCCCCACCACTTCATCCTCCCCGAAAAAAAAAGGATGACACCCCATCCCTGAGGGCCCCCAACACCGACCAGACAGCACGATGGGAGGATGTAAATTGGACTATAATCACAATCTGACAGATAGAGAGTGAGGCTCTGTCCCCGATACTTGCAGAAGCTCTATGCATTTTTCAGCATAGTAACCCCTCATCGCAGTTGCCGGGATTCGAACCCGAGACCTAACCCTTGTGGCACTCCCTCGCTACCAGTTGAGCTACACCCAGTGGTACTTCATCCTCCCGGGGTTTTTACATGATGTCTCCTCATCATTTTCTGTTACTTCATTTTCTTTCGACAATAGAATATCAACTCCAGTGTTGGAAAAATGTGTGAAAAATTGCATTAAATGGCTATTTTGGGGCAATTTTTTGAGTGGGGTCCACTTCTGATTTGGGTCGGGTCAAAGTGGTTTCGGATTGTCCTTGTTAAGGGCTACAATTCGATATATGGTACGCTCAAAACGAATAACGGGTGAATGAGAAATCGCTTTTCGAAGTTTACCCGTTAGAATGGAAAAACTGGGAGAAAGGATGGGTTTCTAGTGTGTTAATTTCCCACACCGGAAAACCCAAGGGATTTGCAACCCTTTATAAAAGGACTCTCCCCTTAAGGAGTTAAGATTCCTAAGGGTAAAGGCTCTCTCCACGCGCGCAGGGGGGGGTGCAAATCAAATCCCGAATTCGGAGAAGAAAAACCGCGACTTGCGTGCGCGGGCGACCTGCGGACACGAATGTCGTCCAAAAATCTATCTCTCCAGAACACCTCGGTCTGCCTCGGTCTCTGGTGGCATCAGAACACCTCGGTCTCTGATGGCCTCGATCAGAATACCTCGGTCTCTGGTGGCATCAGAACACCTCGGTCTCTGATGGCCTCGATCAGAATACCTCGGTCTCTGGTGGCATCAGAACACGTCGGTCTCTGGTAGCAATAAATGCCCAACGTTTATATCCTTTAATGCAGCGTTAAATGGACAGTTCAACAGTCATGGACGATTCAATGCCCAACGGACTGGTCATTGATGTCCAACGTTCAGGTCCATTAATTCACCATTTACACACAACAAATCCTCCTATATAATGGCTGGCAGGTGGTTTGCAACAAAACACGTTCTTACACGAATTCATACACGTTTTGTACCTCAAAAACACACTGCTAGCACTCCGAAAATTTCCTTCTGTGTTCAGTCTTTGTTCTCGTTCGCTGGAACTTTTGTTTGAGTGCTCAAACACTAGTTCGTTGTCATCGTATCCTGGGAAACTATTGTTGCAACGCTCCTAGCACCGTGGGAGGCAACAAATACGTTTTAAGGACATCGTGCGTAGCACGAGCT